ACTATGTTTAAGCGAAGCGTATGAATACTTGAGCGCAGATGCTATTGATAAGACAACTGAAGAGTATAAAAATAGTTTTCTGCTCTGTATTTAAATGTTCAATATTCTTTTTAGCTCTATTGCCACAAATTTGTGCACTGGTTAGAGACAATAGAAATCTCATTAATCTACTCTTTGCATTACTAATTATATGAAGAGACATTTGACTGCTTTAAGGGAGTCTGTTACCCGCCATTTTACCTGAAATTATTTCTGCTGCCATTACTAGATTCTAGCGAAACACAAATATGTAAGAAAATGTTAGTAGAAAAAAAGAATAACTAAAAAAAAAGAAGAAAAAAAAAGAATACATTCCTGGTACTATTTTCAGTACTCTAGTGAAACACAAATCTACAATTTATAATCTATAAGAAAATTGTTAATATTAAAAAAAAAAAAAAAAAAACACGTTATACCTGATTTACAAGTTACTAGGGTCGTATGATGTAACTTGCTTTTTTGCCAGCAATATTTTTTAATCGAAGGTTCAAAAATTTTCCAAGTCAAGTGGGGCAACAGGTTTTGTATTTTGGTTAAAAGTATTTCTATATTCGATAGTATATATTGTATACGTATACACGTATATATATTTGTTTAGAATACTTGTTTAACGTAAATTATGGACGGCCCCTATACAAATCTTCACCCTATATACTGATATATCTCTATATCCCTACATATATATAAAAAGACATATGCATTATATTTGATATTTTTCTATGATAAAATTTTAATATTACAAAATATTAGCACATTCAATATTACTAAATTTCGTTTAAATACTTGCCCAACATGTTTAGTACTATAGTGTGTTAGTCTGTATAAAAATATATATATTTCCAATTACAATATAATATATATATATATAACGTAACATAAATTGTAATTTATCATTATGTATCGATTATGCTGAAATCAATAACTTTCAAAAAACTATTTGGCAAATTTTTATCAGGTATTTCAGAAAGCTGTAACCGGTTAACCGCAGGTAACTTGGTAATACTTGACCCAGGTATAATCTCTGCATATATTCATTATTAAAAACTAAATAATTTAGTTAATTATATGAAAGTATTCTTACTTGAGTATTATTTGGGTATACTTACTCAGGTAATACTTGGATGTACTTACCTAGGTATTACTTAGGTATACCTACTCGAGTAGCTGTAATCATTACCCAATTATCTGATTACTTACAAATAACTTGAGTAATACTTGACCCAAGTACAATCATTAGGTGAGGATAGTTGGCATATAGAAATTTTAATTCATGATAAAAGCCAAACACCTTCAGATCTGAAGTAGCAAAATTTGGACAATGAATATAATAAAAATAGTAAAAAGTGTATTACTATGATGCAGTATTATGCTTATAGACTGCAAATTGAAAGACCTAATGAGGGTATAATTCTTCATCTTGCTAGATGACTTTTTCAGCAGTTTATAGTTGACGTATATACAAGTGTAGAGTAAAATCGGTTTAATTACCTAAGACTAAATCAAAAAAAGATTTGATCTGAACTTTATAGTAGTTTGCAAAACATTATTGCTGTTCAAGATGAGATACCTTAAGATTTTATAGCATCAAATATAGGCAAGAGAATTATTCTTCTCTCAAGCTTCACTAGAGAACCGTATCAAATGTATTAATTATTTCAAGATGCAATAGCTATTGTATATAATTTAGATAAGCCGGTTCTTTTTATTACTTTCATATGTAATTCAGCCTAGCCAAAAATTACCGCAGAACTTTTTCACAACCAAACTATATCAGTTAAGCCAAATTTAATAGCCAGAGTTTTTCATATAAAGTTCTGGGCTTTACTAAATGATATTATTAAACATAATATTTTTAGAAAGGTCTTGGTATATATTTATATTATTGAATTTCAAAAACGTAGTCTTCTACACACTCATATACTAATAATTCTGAACTCAGAAAACAAGCCAAAAATGATCAAAGATTACGATAGTATTGTGTCAGCTAAAATTTCTAACAAGAATATCTATCTTGCAATGCATAATATTGTTATATGAACTATGATACATGGCCCTTGCAATCCTTTCTTTTCTAATATGCTATATATGAAAAATGTAAAATGTTTGAAAAAGTATTTATATTCCCTTTTGAATCTATAATGCAAAATGATGATAGCTATCCTGTGTATTATCATTCTAATGATAGGTATACTATAAAAGTTAAAGGCATATAGTTAGATAACCGATAGGTGATATCTTATAACTTTTATTTTACAACTAAATATGATACACATATCAATGTCGAAATATGTTCTTTAATTTCTGCAGTTAAATATCTCTTCAAATATATATATAAGAGCCACAACTGAGTCACTATAGAAATTGCAAGTTAGCAAGAAACTGAATCTACTCAAAGACTAGAAGTTGAAAATGAGATTTAAAATTACATAGATGCATGTTATGTCTCAACATCTGAAGCAATCTAAAGGTTATTTCATTATAAATTACATGATAAAAAACCACATTTCAGAAAAATATACCATAATTTTTAAGGATGATAACACTATAAATAAGGTATTATTGCGTGAAGCAAACAGTAAACCTACTTTAACTGAATAGTTTAAAGCAAATCGAAAATTTTCTGAAGCATATAGGCTTACTGATGGTGAGTTTTCTAATTTATAGGTATTCGATAAAAGATCTAAAAACTGGAGACCAAGAAAAAAAGGATACAGTTTAGAAAGAATATACTTTGTATATCCTTGATCAGGTAAATATTATTATTTTTAGTTGTTATTAAATACTGTTCGTGGTGCAGCATCTTTTAAAAATCTTAGAACAGTTGATAGAGTCAAATACAATTCATTTAAGAATACATATAAAGCTTTACGACTTCTTCAAGATGATCTGAAATGAGATAATGCTTAAATGAAGCTAAATCAATTCAATCCGGAGTATAATTGCAATAATTGTTTGCAACTATTCTACTGTTTTGTTAGCTATCTTAGCCTGAGTTGCTTTAGAAAAAGTATATTACAGCTTTTACTAATGATATACTTTATCAAGTCAATCAAGAAGCTAAAAACAGCATTGCATTTGCACTTCATAATACTTATGTACGAAACAGCGCCTTGTATTATTTAGAGTTAATACTATTCAAACAAGAAGCAAGCCTAAAAAATTTTCCTAATATGCCAATTTCTGAACTGTTAACACAACAACCTTTACAATACTTGAGTTTAATTTTTGAAGAGCTGTAGTATGATACTGAAATCTTTGGCAATAGAGCTAAAAAGAATATTGAACATTTAAATACAGAGCAGAAAGCTATTTTTGATACCATTGTTTTAGCAATTGAACGTGAAGAAGAAATGGTAATCTTTATAGATGGCCCTAGGTATGGGTAAGACTTTCTTATATAGTGTTTTACTGGATAAAATTTGATCAAGTGGTAAGATTGCTCTCGCAGTAGCTTCATCTAGTATTGCTACTCTTTTGCTGAATAGTGGTTGTACTGTGTATTCGTGCTTCAAAATTCTAATTAATATAAATAAAGATTCAACTTGCAATATTTCATATGAAACAGAGTTAGCATGTCTTTTACAACAAACCTGTCTTATTATCTGAGACAAAGCTCCTATAATAAAGTATTATGTATTTGAAGTATTCGATAAAACACTAAAAGATTTAATAAAAGCTATAAATCTAGCTTTGGAGCAGCTTTTTTTTGATAGTAAAACTGTTGTACTTGGAGGTAATTTTTGACAGATTTTATCTGTAATACCTAAAGGTCAAAGAGAGGATATTGTTAACTCCTGTTTAAAGTACTCTTTTTTGTGACAATATATTAAGATGATAAAGCTAATAAAAAGTATGTGATTATGTTAAGCTAATGATATCAACAATAGTATAAAACAACAACAATTTTCAGACTGGCTTCTGCAACTTGGCAAAGATTAGATTCTATATAAAGCTGAAGAAAGTAATATTATAAAACTTTCAAATGATTTAGTTCATCCCTCTCAAAACTTACTTGACTTAATTAAATTTATATATTCTGACGTAACTATATATGCCAATAATCCATGTTATTTTGTAAAGCATAAAATTCTTGCTCCAAAAAATGTTGATGTTGATTTGGTTAATAAAATTGTTATAGAACTATGTTTAAGCGAAGCGTATGAATACTTGAGCGCAGATGCTATTGATAAGACAACTGAAGAGTATAAAAATAGTTATAAAAATCTTTACCTAGTTGAATATTTGAACAACTTAAAACTAAGTGGCTTACCTTCTCACAAACTATTATTAAAAGTAGATACACCTCTGATACTACTCTGCAACATTAATCCTACCACAAAATTATACAATGGTATGTACTTAATATGCTATTATAACATAATTATTAGATTCACTGTCAACATTACGCACAACATAATGATCACATGATCATGATCACATGATACCGATGAACTAACGAACACTGCTTATTTATTTATTATTTTTTTATTTATTTCTTTCTTTACTAATTTTTTTTTTTTATTTAAGGCAGTATTTTGTAAATAATTGCGATGTAGAACAAGTTAGGAATTGGGCATGTGTAACAAAACGTATGAAAAGGAACTTAGGCATGAAAATTTTTCAAAATAAGTATAAATTTTTATTGTCTTTTGTTCTGTTTTTGTTTTGGTTTAATTTTTTTTACTAATACTACATTAGATTTTTAGAGCATTAGAACATCGGGTAAGAGCGTTTAACGAAGAATCGTTGGCAAAACATTGTTTAATAGTTATAAAAATAGGACCGTTAAGGGATATGTTAAGCATGTAAATTGGGTTTTCGGAACTTAGTTTAATAGAATGGGGCCATCTTTGAATTGATTTTCTCCAGGTAGGCAACTTGAGGTCCTGTCGTCATCACCAAATATAACTGAATTATTCAGTTATAGGGTGGATTTAGGTCTTTGTTAAGAGAAATTCAAGACAAAGAGGCTTTGTTTTATTAAATCATGAAGATTTAAGGCAGTGGACGATACCTTTTACAAGTCTTTTACAAGATATTTTTATAAAAAAATATTTTATTAATACTTGACTATTTAATTGTTAGCTGATTATCCTAAAACTATTTACAATAACATCCGTAACCCTTAGTTTTAAAGCAAATACTATCATTACAATTCTATGCATAACAATTTATACATACGATCTTATGCATAATGATGCTATATGTACAATTCTTAATAAAATAAACAGTAAAATAGAAACTATCTAAATAAATAAATAAAATACAGTAAATAAAAAATAATAGCCCTTGTATTCGTGTCCGTCAGTGTCACATGATTGTCATAGTACATTATGGTCACATGATCATTGTAGTCACATGATAGTCATGCTAACGTTTTACTAGAGCTGATTTTATAATTACATAAGGAAATTTTTAAATAGGGTGGGCATCGATTACCAGCAGCAGGGGCGATTGGCATCGATTAGAATAATCGGTAATAATCGATATTAGTTGCTAATCGATACACAATAGATTAAAAAGGAATCGATTATAATTTTTTCTTCAAATGCTCGTCATAAACACAAAGTGTATTTCATGTCAAATTTTTACATTATAAGCTCTCAGCCATGTACTAGACCTGGGATCTACTATAAGTATTAAATTAGTAAAATGTAAGAGACCCAGATCTTTTATATGGCAGTTTACGACACATTTCTTTTTTATACTTTAGACTCATCAAGCTTGGACCTTACTATAAGATCTTTTATAATTCCGTAACTTGTATGCCTTCTAAGGCTTTGGGTAAGTTTCATTTACAGATCTGAGTTGTCCTGGCTTTGTTCGTTGACTATAGCGATTCTTGGCTCTCCCAGATTAGAATCACTTTTTATTTTTATTTATGATCTAGTACAGTACTATATACTACATTTATTAAAAATTATAATTTAATATATACAAAATTATAAAAAATATTCAATTTGGGACATTCAAAACAATCAAGTTTATTATCCCTTAGATTGTAACACAGGCAAATTTGCCTGCATATTTTAAAATTTTTAATAAAATTTTAAATATTGA